AATCATTTATCATTACACGTGGCACTGAAGATCATTGATCATTACACGTGGTAATGACAATCATTGATCATTTCACGTGGTAATGACGATCATTGATGATGCACAACACAACATTGATGCTACCAATGATTATCTCAAGGAAACTGCCACCGATGAAAATATTAAGAATAGCCTCAAAAATATTAAGTATGAGCGGAGATTTATCCCTTCTAAATAAAGCCCTGACTGGCGCTCACCACACGAGAGCCATTGTTAAAATGCGGTAAAAACAACTTTAGCCAGCGTTGGTAATTTACTTGATGAAATTAAACACAATTGTGGTTGAATAGACGTCTCATATTAATGATTATTCTATATTTAGAGCGCATTGAACACTTTTGAATCCATCACGCCGTCTGATACGTTATGTGAGCGACGACTTAACCCTAATTTCTTAATATATATCTAATCCTGATGAATTGGATGATATAAACCACCTTCTGTGAAAATTAATGTTACCGGACGACACTTGTACATTTCTAATCTGTGTGACAGCCTCGGGCAGAGATGATCAAATGTATATCTTACATTCTTGAGGAAATATCAAGAATATTCTCACCACAACAAGTGTACTACCTACTGGTTACAGGTTGGAGATGTTGTCAGTCGTAGTGAAGAGCCTAGGCTCTTTTGGCAAACAGGCACTCAAGTCAGGGCAAACGCAAGAATAACGAGGGCTCGTAAAATTGTATAATTTGGAGCTTGTTATAGAGGATAATGGATAATAAAAAGAGCCTCCGGAAGTCTTATATTCAGCACTTAGGGCTGCTAGGTTTTGGAAGTCTGAAATTCTGGGCAACGGAAAATTTATATTTATATTTTTTCCCCAGTGACAGTGAATCCAAACTTGAAGTCCGATAACATAAAAAAAATATTTTTAATTATTTTATAAATTGTATGTCCTTAATATCGTATCATTTAAATATTTATATAAATATGAGTAATATCCAATATATATATATATATATTTAGTATATCCAATATACTAAAATGGAGGGAATTTACTACGAGGGGTTACATTATATTCACGCCCCCTCACAATATAGTACATAAACGTGCACATTCACCAGCATGCTGCACATATGCTGCACAGTCGCTCTATGCTCTATCAATATGCAGCATGGGATGCTTACAAACATCCCCTCCTCTTAAAATGAATGAACCTATAGCTACCATGAATGGAATGTACATGGAACCTCATACCCGCCGAAGCTGTAAATGCCCAAACATTGCTGCAGTTCAAAATCCAGCTGGATAATATCATCAGGAAAAATGGAGGGACCTTCAGCAAGCCGCCGGCTTACTGTCCTCGTCGTGGTCAATAGGCAGATAGCGACCCTCAGTTAAACTCAGGTAATTTACCTGTAATATAAACTGTCGTACCACAAGAGAATACCAAAACGTGGTACGCCTTACATAACCTCAGACCTAATTTAATGTATGCCAAGGAAAAAAGATTCATTTTGTTGTCGTCTTCTTTCTCGGATCCTTCACATGGTATATAGTACAAAACGTGGACATTTTATTTTCGGGTGCATCAGAATGGTTGGATACGTTTCCTTTTACCTAATGTATCTGTTCACCTAGCAGTAAATAGGTAACCCAGGAGTCAGCCAAACGTTGTAGAGCTGCAACTTGAGGAGGGTGATAAGTCCGACCTTGAGGGGGAAGCTGGAACTCGATATAAGCCTCGAGTTCCAGCTTATACACACCAGTCTGTGTGTATCAGTACATACACACAGACTGCATGTCCTCGATCAAATGAATAACAACAAAAAATAGGTACCATCATTTTTGGATGACAGGTTGCTTAAAGAATATTAACCTCTCCCTGCCCACAAATTTCGACCTGCTCCAGTATGCCAAACATACAGCTTGTGTGTTTGTACGTGTGTGTGAGTGTTTGCGTCACCACTACGGCATGGTCGGGCCGCACCTCCCTCCCCCCAACCCCCCAACCCTTCCCCAGGCCAAACACCGGCCACCTACGTGTACCTCCTCCATGTTGGTATGAATTAAGCAGTATAGCGCTGTACCTGCGTTGAGCACCAAGGCAGAATGGTCGGAGTTATGTACACTGGTGGCTCACGGGATGGATGGTTGGAGGGAGACTGGTGAGGATGGATTGAGACTGGGAGGGATGGATAATTGGAGAGAGGGACGTTGGAATACTACAGGTGGCACCTGTATTACATGAGGTATGACACAGACGACACAGCGGTACACCGGGATAGTCTAAGGTCACCTGTACTTCAACCCTTGCAAAAAGAGCTTCCCGGAGCCACGCCCATGCCACCCACATGCCTGCCACGCCCATCCCACCCACATGCCTGCTACGCCCACATGCATGTCAACCCAACTCGCCCACATGCCTGCTACCACATTTGTCATCCACTGGCCTCTATATCCTGCTATATACACATGAAAGCAACCAACTCCACTCGTTGCGCCAGTGTAAAACTACTGTATAGGCCTACCCTAACATGTCCACTTCTACGCTCCATGCGACACACACCTCAGGCAACCCAACAAGCCTACTAGATCCCTTGCCACACCCCACAAGCCTATCATTATGTTATGCTACACGCACTCCCACAGGCATACTAGGCCAGATACTACCCTCATAGGACTATTACATGCCACACTCCCACATACCTATGCACTGGCCGCATGCCATAGCTCACACACCTGGCGAGGTACGGTTGGCAGGTGTGGGAGATGACTGCCGGCCCGTGTCCCTACCCCCCCATCTCTGTTACTCCAGCGCCTCCCCCCCCCCCCCCCCAACCACTCTCGGCTCCCGGCCCAACACCCAACCTTCGCTGTGTTTATTTACACTATCTGTGGTCAGAGTCCGTTCCCAAATTGGGGGAAAATCTTTTACCTTGACCTTGTAACTGGAACTTCTGTAAACTTTGTAATAGGTTTACCGCCTCTGACGCAACTGTTGGGACCCATAGCCTCAGCCAGAAGGAAATGAAAACAAACCATTTAGAGAAAATCTTGTCGGTTGTCGCCGAATTCTCATGAGTATTTACTTCTAATACCATTTTTGTAATTGTATATTATTCATACTCCAGAGTAAACATGTATATAAACCACTATTTACCGGCAATAACTTAACGAATTCACTAGACTAAATTAATGTGTAATATTTATGCAGGTGGGTTTAAGAAGGCCACATGTACAGTATACGATACGAACATTAAACTAAGTTGGAAATGAATATGCAGTAATATATTTACATGATGAGTATTAAAAGCACCAGACTTTTTTTTTTCATCTACCACATGACCCGACGAGGTGAAGTGTCAGGTACAGTCCTTGGAGCTCACACCCCCCATCACAAACCTGTATACTGAACAAATATACTGTATACCCAGTGACGTACCTTCCTATCAACTCAATACTCATAGCATATTTTTATTATACTTATTAACATATAATTGTTTCATTAATTATCTCTAAATGTTCAACTGACGTGTTTATGATACATTGTGAACGATAGCCGAGTACGATAACATATGCGATATAATAACTACAATATGGGGGGGTAGGGCGCTGCATGATAACCAATGCGTTGCATCGTAGGCTACGATAGGTTGAATTAATCGATAGCAGAGATGTGACGTTATAGGTTGGCGGTCTGGCTTTGGATGACAGATTTTGTACCTGAATTTACCCAAGGGGCACCATATCCAGTACCTTCGACGGGGGACAGGAAGCCACCGACTTGTCAAAGATCCCCTTATTATTCCGGTGGATTTTTTCCAAGTATATTTTAAACGGAAGAATTGTCTTGGCATTTATAGCTCCAGATGGCAGGAAATTCTGAGGGTTTATTACCCCATGGGTGAAAAATCATCTTTTGTTTTACACCCTTTGGTGTGTTTGTTTACACTTGCGCAGCGTGTGGTCAGAGTCCGTCCACAAACTGGGACAAAGTTTGACCTTGCAACTTGCACTTTTATAAACTTTGTAATTAGAGGTTAGGGGTGTGGCGTCGGATGACAGAGAGGTGACGTTACATAAGCTGAAGGTGTAGCGTTATAGGTTAGAAGTGTGGTGTTATAACGTCACAGGTAGCAGATGTGGCGTTATAGGCTGTAGGTGTGGCGTTATAGGCTGTAGGTGAAGCGTTATATGCTGTAAGTGTGGCGTTATTGGCTGTAAGTATAGCGTTATAGGCTATACGTGTAGCATTATAGGCGGAAGGTGTGGCGTTATAAGCAATAGGTATGGCGTTATAGTTGTTTTATATACAGCTACTGGGAACAAAACGTTCCAAGCAGTAGCGGAACGACGGCTATGGTGAACCCGCCGTACTTACCTGGCACAGGAGATATGTAGTGTTAACGGCGTTATATATAGGCTGTAACTGTGGCGATATAGGCTGCAGACGTAACGTTAGCGGCTACAGGCGCGGCGTTACAGGCAGATGTGGGGGCGTATGAGGGAGAGGTGAGGGAAGACGTGTGATAACAGGTGTGGGGGGGATGATATGATAGAGCCAGGCGGAGATGGACCTGCAGGAGGCGCCCGCGTCGCCTACACACTCCTCAACGGGTAGTAACAGCAGCTCTCCTATCTTATCACACACCTCCTTATCTCTACACGTATCTAGCGTGCTTTAATGTATTTGTATTATGTCTGTGTTTGCGCACATGTCACTTAGAATGCCGTACACCACTTGATAAACATGGCCGTAAGAATATTATGTGAGATGTAACAATTCTTTTGCACGTCAGCGCTGCGGATTATATTATTTTGCGTCGTCTTCTAAATATGGAAACATAAGGTCAATGTGTAATACTTGTTAGCTATAAAATGTCAATATATATATCACCATACATGGCCAAACCTCGAGGCGCTTATACTTCAGTACATAAGCTTTAAATGCTGCTATTCCACCAAACTGCATTTACATGACATACGTAAGTGTGAATGAGTTTTGAACTTACCTTTCAGAGCTTACATCTTGTCTTTACTATTCAGGTGTGTTAAATTCCCAAATAACTTGCAGTTTGGTGGAGGCTTGCGAAGGTAACCCACCTAGTCAGGGTCCAGTATGCAAACAATGTCTTAATTGTTACATTGCTCTATGTAATCCACGATTTTATGTACGCATTACACTGTAATATCACTCAGTGTATTACCTGCTAATGGTTTTACTGAATAGCGATCATATTGTCCACAAATTTTGAGGAAAACGTCACTATAGAAGGGTGGGTTGGGTGGGAGGGTGGCGAGGGAACACGAGCAGACACGACCCGTCACGTCTGAGAGCCGAGCACACACTGCCCGGCCACACCGCCCGGACCCCAGCACCCACACACACCAGTAGCCACACCCCCACCCTGGTAGCCACCCCCCTGCCACACCCCCACCCTGGTAGCCACCCTGGTAGCCACTCTGGTGGCCACCCCCCTGCCACACCTCCCTGGCCAGCCCCCAACACCCTTCCCCCAGGGCTGCTCCCCCCAAAGCTTCACTTCCCCCTTCCCACCCACATCAGGGTTGCCACCCCCTCTTTCAGGTGCCATCCCTCTAGGTGCCACACCCCCCCTCCCTCTCTCTCCTCAGGTGCCACCCTCTCCCCAGGTGCCACACCCCACCACAACTTACCTGTCCATACCTTGGTACGCTCAAAAGCATCGTGTCAGTTATCTAATCCAAATATATATGTATCGTTAATGGTCACATGTCATTTGACACGTTCCTGCAACCTGCTGAAGCATGTTATTTATGGGTTTTATTAGAGAATGGCGTTTGTTCGTATTAGTGGTGTCCCGTCTTCCCAGCACTCTTTGTCATATAACGCTTTGAAACTACTGACGGTTTTGACCTCTCCCATCTTTTCCAATAGCTTAGCATCATCAGTATATTTTGTATACCTTCTGGTAGATTATTTATGTAGACGATAAACATTACTGGTGCAAGAACTGAACCCTGTGGTACTCCGCTAGCAACACTCCCCCAGTCAGGTACATTGTCACTAATTACTGCCCTCATCTGTCTGTCAGTTAGAACATGTTTCATCCATGTCAGACGTCTCCCTGTCACCTCTCCCGCATGTTCCAGTTTCCAAAACAACCTCTTGTGTGGGACTGTCAAAAGCCTTTTTTAAGTCCAGATAAAGGACCTATTTTAGGTGTGTTTTTTTTTACTGAATATGACTGAAAGCGGTAGTTCAGTGATTCTAGAACGAATCTTCTGTATATTTCTTGTTTTCTTCTGTTAGGAAGGAAGTTGAACAGATTAACTACACTTCTCTATAGTTGAGTACTGTCAAAACAAACAGTCTCAATATATACAGACAAGAACACAAACTAAACAAAGAATGTTCAACAGATGACATAATCCAGACAGTCCGGTATAAATGTTGTTGTCTCAATAATTCCAGGGATTTATTGCCGTTTCAAAATATTTACATTTTCCTTTAAATTTGATATAAAATCAATTGACAAACTTAGTCGCATACGCATTTACACAGTACAAGTATATGAAGGATTACGGAAGGCACTAAAATCCCAATCTTGCAGGATAATTAGTCATAAAGAGGTGTATGTGGTAAGTAGTCTAATAATTGTTAATGCATTATGCGGATATCTTCAAGACCACGAGAGTAAAGAAACTAATTGTAATGCTCTAGTATTCAATAGTGCAGTGTGTATGTGTGAGATCTTGACCCGGTTCCTGTTCATAGTTTACACACAAAGTGATGAGGATAATATTACAACACTTAACTTGAGAACTCTACGCTCGTCACACTTCCGTTTTCAATAACATTTACCGACTACTGTTCGGGTGTTTATCATGTTTCTTTAAGAAGTAAATATATATAGTACAGTTATCGATTTACAGGAGAGCCTGGCTGCCTCGTCGCTAAGCACGGGAAGGGTTCACGTAAAATATGTAGTTATGGTTGCAACAGGAAATGGCCGGAGTCTAGATTGGTCGTGTCTCAGGTCTGACCCCAGAATAGACGTGCTCCCAGAATAAGCCTGACCTTGTAATGGACGTCATCCTAGATTATGCCTGACTCTAGAATAGACGTCGGCCATGAATAAACCTGACTCTAGGAAAGATGTTACGCATGAATAAGCCTAACTCGAGAAGGCGTCATTCGTGAAATATCAGCATTCCAGACTGGACCTCAAATATGCTGTGAACATTTTGAAAGCTTTCGTCCCTAAGATCCTGTAGCACATCTGCCTACGTCCTAAGCCCACAACCAATGGACACAGGCTCACACCCCTGGCAGAACATAACAGGCTGGGCACATTTCTTTTCACTTGGTGCAGTAGAGACAGGTACAGAGGTGCAGTAGAGACAGGTACTATTGTGGCTTGCATCCTGGGAACGGCCAGTCGTTGACCTATGTAATACTGGTTGCGTGTCCCTTGACATCGGGAGTTATATATATGCTTTCCTCTGGTTTGCCAGTTTTGCATATGATGAGGTTATACTATAAGTGCAATGCTAGGTAAGCGGTTAAGTCAACTTAAAGGGAATTATCAAGAGCAAGTGCTAAGGGAAAGTGCCAAGTCAATGTTACTATACAGCACTGTGAAGGCATATGAGGACAAGAATCTGGGATAGGACGGAGGGAGGGAACAGTGATCAGTCACTTGCATCATCGACCGTGGCTTCAGAGTTTCTTTCTAAAGTTTGCGTTGATGTGAATGAATCAGCTTTCTCATTTAGGTCATTTATGTATACTGGGAATAGTGCAGGCCTTAGTACTACCCACAGTGATTGTGTGCTGGGTAATTATACTTACCATCTCCTTTAGGATCCATAGGACAATTTTGTCTAGTTCTAATCCTTTTGTATTATCCAGCTCTTCCAGTTGCTTTCTCATATCTACCTTTCTAATCATTTTAACTGCAGTCTCTCTTATAACGTGTGGTAGTTCCGGTTCACCTGTGATAATGTACAGTAATAAAAACTGTTGAGTATATGTCATTTTCTCAATGTCCTCCACCTCTTTCTGTCTAATATGGATTCTTAATCATGCGGTTACAGTATATTAAAAGGAATGTGACAAAAGTTTTACCCTAAATAGAATGTTTTCATAAAGATTCTCTGCCTGCTGTCTTACATTCATGTAAGCTACTAATTTCTTATTTCTTTAGAGCTATTATGTTTCTATAGCCACTAACAGTGCCTTTACCTTTATACATGCCCCTTTGTTTGCCTATTTTGTACTGAAACACCATAGTAATGGTAACTATATGTTGAATTCTTTTTATTTATTTTTTTTTGCCCATAAGGAACCATATGTTTCCTTCCCATAGCCGTCTTGATTTTCCAGGTGATAAGAATACATTACTTTCAGCCATGTTTATTGTTCTTAAATTCTATCCCAGTTTATTTAACCCTTCCTGTATGCTATCTTTATTTTCCTGTTTCCTTATATTGGCATTAATCACCACTAGTTAGTCAAAGATAAGGTCAAGTCACTGGCACTTCTTCCCCACAATGTAAATTGTACTGAGAGTTATCCTTAGGCCCAGTTTCCTTATTTTTAAGGCCGTGTAAATTGAGACATTTGGGCAAGTTTCCTTATGTTTATGTTTATCTAGCAGTAAACAGGTTCAAAGTAAAATGGTGACTGCTGTGGGCTGCATTCTGAGGAAAGTCGGTTGTTAGCCTAGGAAAAATGCATATACGTGCTTGATGTCTTCAGGGTTAGTTTTCAGTCCTATATTGTTCCTATATTGATAATTTTAACAGGTTTGTTCTCCCCAACGATGGGAAGCTATATTTGGAGCATTTCCTTTTTCACTACATCTACACATTTAGTCCCTCATTCACGTACCACACATTTAGGTTACTTCTCTTGACCACGCCAAGGTTGTTTGGGGGAGTGACTTGGTGATGGGAGTGACTCTGGGGACACTGTAGGGAAAGGGATGTTGGGGTGGTATAAGAGTGCTGGCTGATTGGCTGCTAGGTGTCAGAAGACCCATTTTTTCTGTTTTGGGTTTAAAAAGCAGTGTGGGCATTGTAGAGGACAAGGTATGCATATGTGTGGGTATGTAATTGGGAAAATCTGGCTAATAGGGTAGGCTTAGGGAATGATAGGCTTGGAAGGGTGGCTTTGGCAACTCTGGTCAGTGGTTCTGGCACTTGTGTTGACCTTAGTTATGAGCACATTTAAAACCAACAAAAATAAGCCTTCACACCAAGATAATCACATTTTGCAGCCTCGGTTATCAGCAAGGTACTACATTTATTGTTGAGCTAATGTAAGTACTCTGAGTGTAATGTACAACAAAAGGCAACTAATACACACAATTCTCTTTACAAGCAACTATGCAACCTTTATTTTTTTTTCTTTGGTACTTGATCCTTCAACACCAGTTCCCTGACTTACACTTTTTTTAACTTTCTTTTTTCTTTTACGTTTTATTGATTCAACAGAAGAGCCATTTTTGTGTGATTGAGGAGCCTCTATAACCTCAATCTCCTCACTATCCTCATCTGAACTTGGCACAGCTTCCGACTTTAACATCTTTGACTTGTGGGCGGTCTGTGGAGGGCAATAGACATCCATACAGATGATACGACACGTCGTATCCACTTCTCCCAAGAGTTTTGGTCCAGATGAAAGTGACAACAACTGAAAATACAAAATAAATAATAATCAATAAAAAAACATTAGTTTTCCTTACACAATCCTACTTAAGAATTTCGTTTTGCAAAGTTAATTTAATGCAAGAGATATCCATTGTCTACTAACTGAACATTGTTACCTTATTATGGAATAAAGATCAAGGCATGCAAAGGGTTTAAACAGGATCCTCAAATGTAGTTAAAAATGCTTTGTGGAGAAAACAGTTCAGGATTAACTGTTCAAAATGTGTTACAGAACACATTGACCCAGAACACAAGGGAGCCGGACGGCCGAGCGGACAGCATGCTGGACTTGTGATCCTGTGGTCCCAGGTTCGATCCTGGGCGCCGGCGAGAAACAATGGGCAGAGTTTCTATCACCCTATGCCCTTCTTACCTAGCAGTAAAATAGGTACCTGGGTGTTAGTCAGCTGTCAGGGGCTGCTTCCTGGGGGTGGAGGCCTGGTCGAGGACCGGGCCGCGGGGACACTAAAGCCCCGAAATCATCTCAAGATAACCTCAAGATGACCCAAAATCTGAGCATTGTACTTACCTAACAATATAAGACTGAAAACTAACCCTGAAGACATTAAGCACGTATACACAAAAACAAATACAAAACTATTTTTAAGTCCATTTTACCAATATTATATCTGACTTACTTATTTGAATTCCAATAGCATTAATTTTATTAGCAGTATTGTATATTCAATCATCTGTTCAATTATCATACACCATTATATCAGTGTTGCCTTTGCTTTTGCATCTATGTTTGAGACAGTGAGAATGTAGTATGCCCTCCTGAAATATCAGTTGTTTTAATACTAGTAACTCAATAAAATAAAAATAAAAGTAAAAATCCACTTTTGATCTTTCCTTACCACTTTTTAAGAACAAGTACAAAGCATAATTACCCAGCACACAATACAAATTCACCATAACATTTCTGATTACCTCAAGTTTCCACACTTTTATAGTTCCATCAGAAGAAGCCGACACGAGCCACACTTCCTCGGCTTCTTCTCTGGGGATCAATCGCATACTCTTGATGCGCATGGTGTGAGCGTTCCACTGAACCACTTCTAACTTAGTTGTGATATCATAAACACAAATATTCTTGCCTTCCCCGCCAACAGCTATGATATCGTCCTAAATAAATAACGACATTGATTAGACATGGGGAAAGACAATGGCTTAATTTGCATTTAATTGTTACCTAAAGGTACACATCAGGAGAACATAATAGCTGCCAGTATTGATTTATAAGCAACCAAGATATAAATATGAATCAATACATTTGGTATTTAAGAAAATGTAGTTTAAACAAGTAAATAGGATTTAAACCTTAACATCAATGAAATATATATACCATAATCTACCACATCAAAAATATTAAAAAATTTAATAAATTACTTTGTGTAAATTATTAATGGCTGTGGATCAAAAATTGTCAACAATGATTGAGTTATGCATTACTAATATACATTTTAAACATAACAATATACACAGTAAAAGATAACTAATGAAATTGTGTAAAAGAATTAATTGACCATGTCCTTGAGAGAATTACTGTATGCTGAAATATTGTGTGATACAAGAGTGGTGAGAAGAACATCTGGAGGCTTGTCTCATCATAGTAGGAAAGTTAAGAAATTGAGTAAATGAGAACTTGTAGAACAGTTGATAGTGATCTTAGAAGCTATGAATAAATGCCCTGCAGAGGCATGTACTCAAACCCATCTAATACCTACCATGATAAATATTATTGAAGTGACTTGCTCCTTAAAATCCACAGAATGGACCACTTGACCAGAGGAGACCTCATACACGTCAACATTGCTGCCCTTCACCACCAAGTAATGCGTGCCAGCTGGAGACCAGTGCACACTATCAGCAACTATAACACAGATATTGCAGGTTTAGAAACTAAATTAGCTTCATTCAAATTGTAAAATTTGCAAAGATTTAATTTATTAATATTAACTGAAACTTTCATTTAAACTCACCACAATAACATACTATCCAGAAATTATACATGTGCCAAACTTATTAATCTCTTAAGTGCGATGTAACTCAACATGAGGGTTCACAGGACAGACATACTAAACTTAAATAAATTGTATATAAATTTATAGAAGTATCACATGTGGAAAAATATCCACTTATGCTAAGTTAGAATATAGCATATACGAGTTATAGCCATAGGCCACATGCACAAGGAAGCAAATAGGCCTAGCTAGGCTATTTTTAAATCCCAGACTGTGAGGACTCCTGGAGGTAACAAAAGAAATGTTGATTATACTTTACAATGTCATCCCTCCAAACACACACCGAAACTACGACGTTGGTACAACGTTCGAACAAGTTTTAACACCTCCTAACCAGTTATAACAACCAATATAGCAAGTTGTAACAACGTTCTAATACGTCATAAACACATTAAGCCAAGATGTAACAACTTTATTACAAGTTGTAACAAGCGGAAAATAGAGACAGTTTCGGCTTGTGTTTCCAGGAATATGAGACCACAGGGTGGACAAAAGAGGTGCCAGTAATGGTTCCCTTTCAAGGTATATTACTAGTATATAAACAAGTCAAATTGTCACTTGAACATTAAGTTGATGTTCCAAAATAAATAATACTTTAAGTTGTTACCGGTTAGGTTGGATAAATCAGATAATCACAAGTTAATATTAAAAGTTTAAAGGAAAGCGGGCACCACCACCTGCTTGCCTTCACGAGCACCAGCTAGTGGCGAAGAAACGCCATCATTCATTCAACAAAAACGCGAATTCCTGACGAGATGTTTTTATCAAACTCTTAAAGAGGTGAAACGCAGAAACTCAATAATTATTATTTAGTTACACAGTTTAGTTATTAAGGTGTCAGAGACTGCATACAAGATAAAAGTGTAAGCTGTGTAATAGTGGTGAAGTGAACCATATCAACTTCAGGCATTAACTGATGCTCTTACTGCAACAAACTACTCCTATCCTACCATTGGTCTGCACCATAGTCAACTCCACACATCATACATTACTAGACAGAGCACTCCAGGTTTACATCACAACAAAATAACCAGGAAAGTGTGTGTGTGGTGAGAGTATCATCAAGAACTGGATCTATTTTTCTACTTGCATGCCATTCCCATTAACCCCTTCCCTTTGTAGACCCAGTATAACATGGGCTTCCGAGCCCACTCTAGTAAGTACGACATTAATATTGGTTCCAAGGGGTTGTCATAGCCAGGGTGTGGTAATGGGGAACGAGCTTCCATGACCTATAAAAAACTCCTATATGGCATGCGTCTCCAATAGCCTCTGACAACCAAGTCCAACTCCTGGCCTGCATGGGTGGTAAGGCTTGGTCTTTAAGTCCGGCGGAACTACTTTTACTGACAGGAGAAGGGGCGAGGGCATGCCTCTGGTGCCTTAAAACCAGCTGCTCCGGATAGATGGGATTCGTTAGCCTGGGAAGGCAGCTCATCTAGGGGAAGGAAAACCTCGATTCTAAACTTCCACTGCCTTGCAGCCATACCCTTCTTTTGGGAAAGGCTTCAGGAGTCAACCTCAAGGAAAAATCCAGAGTTGGAGCCCCTAAGGCAATTTGCTGTCGACTTCGACATCGTTCTGGCAGCTCCTGCGACGGTGCTGGAACCAAGTGTATTGGCGTTTGTCTTTCCATTGGATAATTTCAGCAAAGTGGAGAGGGGGGACCTGCTGCAAGGGTAACAGCTTCTCCTCCATATCGACCTACCCAGGCTTTGTGCCCTGGAGAGCAACCAGAGCGCAACTCCATAGTCTCACAAGACTGAAGGATGCCTTCTACTACAGTGGAACCTCGAGTGACAAGCGCCTCAATTTACGAGCATTTTGAATAACGAGCGCGCCGATTGCCGACAATTTGTCTCAATTGGCGAGTGCTCGTTTGAATAACAAGAAAACCACATGGTGCATTCCCGCTGCTTCTCGCACATTCTCCAACACCTCCAACAAAGCAAATAAATTTTCTGTTTTGTTTAAAGATTCTAATGATGCTGGGATGTAAAGAGGTGACTGCTGTGATGTTGCAAAGCATTTTTTTTGTAGAATAAAAAAAAAAATGAAAAAATTTGAAAAAAGAACAAATGTCAAAAAAGTTCGTTCGGTGCTCGTTAGGTAGGCTGCTCCATGTTTCTTAAAAAAAAAAATTGAAAAACGGACAAATGTGATAACGGTTCGTTCAGTGTATGTCAGGTAGGATGCTCCATTATTTAAAAAATTGAATATCATATTGATGTTTCTCGGCGGTGGAACGGATTATTTTTATTTCCAATATGTTAAATGAGAAAATTCGTTTTGAAAGACGAGCATTTCACATGATGAGCACGGCGCCGGAACGGATTAAATTTATTATTCGAGGTACCACTGTACTAATATTGGCTAACCAATAATTAAGCTAGCTAGTCAATTAACCTTCAACAATATTATCCTGCACTTACATAAATTCAGTGATATATTGCAATATCGTAATTTACCTCAACAGTAATTAATTTACAGTAATTAAATATTTATAATACACACTTATAGTTATCCATGCAGTGTGCCACAACCATGACTTCACTCGTGGCCAGGTGTGTGGTGGCAACGTGCTCCAGGCTACTGGCTCACAACAAATGCCCACCATCCCCTTCAACAATTGTACACACCATTTATTTCAAGTATCTATATTTATATTTGTATTACATATTACCTGTTACAAATACAACATCTTATCTTTTTCAAAACAAAAAAAATTACTTCCTACACCCAAACTAGGGTAACTAGATTTTTTTGTAGATATTTTATCTTTTTATCTCCATATATTTTTACACAGATTTGTGTTACTAAATTTTGATTTATGTACCGAGAAAGGTGGGGAGTACAGAGTCCCAAATGGACAGAATTCTTGCAACTTGGTCTATTAGAAGGACAATGACTGGGAAAGTTGGGCTTTTTTTCCCAGTCAAGGCCAAAACGGGGCCCAGCGGTCCACATTTTAAAGCCAGACAGTCCAACAGTCCTCTGTTTTTTTTTTAAGTTTTGAAAAACTAGAAAATGATTGCATGTTCAGGTGTGTTATTTACAAATACAAAATGTCTGTACTGTATTTCTGAAAAAATCAGAACAGCCATATTTAAATGCTAGTCATCTTTAAGGGAAATTGAAGCATTTAACTCATTATATTTTCCCCAGTTTTGTTATATTAACTCTCAATTTATTACACTGTATTATTTGGAATTTATCTTTATTATAATTTAATATTAATGTGGCTTCACATTGTCTTCAGTTGCATATTTTATTTCAAATATATATTTATTTCACATATATTTAGTGCAAAGACTGAGGAGCAAGTTGGTCATAGTTTTTCTCTTCCAAAAGAACTGTGACCAGGACCATTGGTCCATCTTTAGGCAAGGACTGAAAATGAGATTGTTAGTTCTTTTTGAGCAACGGGTGCCTACCTTTGTGTATACATCCACAAGGGGTGTGTTACGTATGAATATTAGCATGTGTATGCATTGTAAGAATATTGCCATTTTAATGCACTGTATGTGTGTGCATTTACTCTTATATTTACCAAAATTAGAACCAAGATCTTAACAGGAAATGTTGTCATTGCAATAAATACAAAGCAAGAACTAACCAGTTTTAAGGTTGGTGATAAAGGCTCTCCTGCCCTTGATAAGATTCCAGGTGCGTAAGCTCTTGTCCTTCCCTACCGACAAGGCCAGCTTCCCTGTAGGGTGAATTGCCAAGCCTGTCACTCCTCCAGCATGAGCCTTCAGAGTCTTTTCACACTACAAGAAAAAACGTTAATGTGAAGAAAAGATATTTGCAATTATGAAACCAGTCATATATTTATCCGAATTGATTTGCATCTGATGTAGAGATGTGGAGAAAGTGATTGGCAGCATAACATTCGATCAACAGATTTGCATCCTTTCCTCCACAGCTCCACCTTGGCTAGATATAATGCTTATAAGCATTATGTCAGAAGAAACCAGCCCAAAAGAGCATCTTCACATTGCTAACAAATGCAAATATTTTGAATACACGAGGGAGATGGAAAAAGGTGTCCCCATGCCAGCATATCTTAGGATATGACAACCCGTTCTCGCAAATTTAATAAGTCAATATTGACTTATTAAATATGTGCATAGGTGACATACTTAACATAATAGTTTCCCTTGAAAAGCTTCATAGAAAACACCGACCTTACCTAACCTACTTAGTATGTTAAGATAAGCATCTTATTGCTTCGTAATTACAATTATTACTTAACCTATTATAGGTATAGGTTAGGTAACAATTGTAATTACGAAGCTATAAGATGCTTATTTTAACATACTAAGTAGGTTAGGTAAGGTCGGTGTTTTCTATGAAGCTTTTCAAGGGAAACTATTATGTTTAGTATGTCACCTATGCACGCAACTAATAAGTCAATATTGACTTATTAAATTTGCGAGAACGGGTTGGATATGAACAGGGTGGTATAATGAATACCATCAGATGCAATGATTACATGGCACTGTAATGAGTGCAAGCTGTACAATGTGCCCAAAGTGATGATAGCAGGCTACTGTAATGTGCTGAGCCTGGAGTAATGCACAATGCATGATATGAATATTGGGTGTTGGTGGTTGTTTGTATTGGAGGTGGAGAAAGGTGGAAGTGGTAGAGGAAGTGGAAAGGGTGGAAGTGGAAAGGGTGGAAGTGGAAAGGGTGGAGAGGATGAGGTGGTGGTAGGGCTAATTATTAGCAGACTTTCCCACAATTGTGGGTAAGAACAGGAGAATAATTATGAGGAAGTTTCCCACAACAGTGGGTGAGAGCATGGGGATAATTATGAGTAGATAATTATGGGGATAACTGTGATTACACATCTACAATCCACAATGCTTAATATTCTACATAAACTTTTCATTTCAGTGTATAATCAAGTCTTGATTACACAATTACCCTTCATGTTAATTAAGGTAAACTAACCTATACTGTGAATAAAATGGTGATATGTATATTAAAGTTTAGTTAGCTCATCAATGCTCAAACTTGCCTAGCTAAACAAATATTGAGGTTCAGGCCCCTGGGTCCATTATGTGTCTCCGTAACCTTCCCACAGCCCAATCACAGAGCAGACATGTGAGTGCATAATAAACACACAAGAGTGTCAAGTGTCTTGTAGTGTTTAATATCTCATTCAAGAAGTACATATAGAGAGGAAATATACAGTGAACTATAAAACTGTGTAACGTTTGCAAATACTATGCCAATGAATGACTTTATATTGTATTAAAAATGCGTATAAATGTATACCAGAATAAGATCATATTTTCATTAAACAAGCATACTTCCATGGAAAGAACCTTTGAATGTGCTCAGTTAATCAAGGCTTTCAATGTACCAATACTGTACAGTACATAAGCTCACATCAATAGGTGTAATATACAACCCAAAAAAGTTTTTGACGCTTACCTCCCATTTTGCTCGATTAAAAATGCAAATGTTGCCATCCTGGGATGCAGAAAACAGGTACCGTGATCCATGGAATGCCAAGTCTGTGATGGTTCCTGGGGAGAAACACTCGACTTAAACTGAAACTGTTGAAACAGTCAAGATTTATTTTGAAAAGGCAATCATGAAATCAATATACTTTGTGTGATATATAGAAATACTGTACATAGTAGGCATCCAGCTTTGTGCAGGTATGCAGTCCTTGAGATACCATATAAACAAACTCAGATTTTATTCAAGGGGTCGTATAGAGAAAAATAGGATACATTCCAAGATCAATAAATTCATCAAATAAATTTTTTTGTACATTTAAATTTCATTGATAGAGTATTCAGTATTTTACACAATACAGCACTCAAATACCTATAAAGGTACAGTATTATTCTGGATTTAAGAGGCCAATTAATTGCTTCCAACAGTAACTGCTAGTAAATTTCAAGAGCATTCCGAGCTCTGAAGCTCACTCAAGTTGTAGTCACCAATATCATGGGAACTGCTTACCAGTCAATAATGTTAGGGAAGCTGATAATCATTTCTAGAGCCTATATTTAATACTATTACAGGCAATATATGCTGAACAGCTCCACTATAACCATCTTGCTTCTCACTAATACAAGTACTGTATTGCCAAAACAAGTGCTGCATCACCATCACCACCTTGTTCTTAAATGATACAGGAAAAAACAACAAGATGTGCAAGTTCTTCCTCCTCTTACATACGTAATTACTGAAAGAAGGCACCAATGCAGGACTATGTAGCTCTCATCATGCCCCTAGTCCTTGCTGATACAAGCAATATAGCAGAAGATAAACATCATCACCCTGTGTTTTGTTAATACTGGAATCACAACAGGTGGTTTATTTTATCAGCCTATTTCTTGTTGATCCAGGCATCTCTACAGGAGGCACAGCTTTAATATCATCACACAGTTCCTCTCACTGATACCGGACTCTTGTGAAGATGATACCTCACCCTGTACATGGCAATACAGCAGAAAGTACAACTTATCCCCACTGTTCTTTGATGATACTAGCAAATATGAAGAGGTGCATCTATATCAAAAGAACATAATATAATATTTAAAAGTACACACCTTGATGTTCCATTATAAGGCCAACTTCAGTGCGTGAGTGAAGATTAAATATCCTCAATATCTCATCTGAAGCTCCTGACACGAGAAACTTGCCACTGATTGCAATCTGCCGCACACTACCCGTGTGCGAGTGATCGGCAAAGCTCTGGCTGAGGGACACCTTCCCATCCTGCAAATAAATTAAATTTCAGTTAATTGGAATTACTTTACTGAGAACAGAATTAAAGGAAGGTTTCAAGCTCAACAAGCCACAATGGGGGACAGAAAACGGGAAATGCTTTTTCACCCATTGGGTTATAAAAAATTCCATTGAACTGCCTCCCAGCTTAGCCGAGGATGCCATAACACTACTGAAGTTTATAATCCAGCTTGATAACAATTCATCAGGACAAATGGGAGCACCTTTGATGAACCAACAGCTTCCTGTCCTCATTGAGGCCACTAGAGAGTGGTAAAATTAGACCCTCAGGTAAAATTCCTTATATAATAACGGAATACACGATATAGACAAAATAAGCACTAAATAAATGTAAACTTATATACACAACATTTTGGAAAAACAAACAATATTTAGGTACTGTTATTGAATATAATTATTGAATAACTAAACATTTTTATATTTGTTGAAGTATAAGTGTGGCCCTAAGTAAGTAATTATCAAAAGAAGGCACCAAGCCTGGAAGACTATGTAGCACCATCAGTCTAGTCGTACAACGTCACCAAAACTCTCACCAACCTGACCTAACCTAACCTAATGATAATAACAGAGAAATTGGTGTTTATATACTCAGTATTGTACTGTGTAGGGTATGTAATGTCACTGACACATTATGATGGCATCGAGGTATCGTACTGGATGTTATTGGTCTAATGTACAGTATTATACAGACAGGAAAACACAATAATGTGATGCCACAAAACCACAATAGCCCTTGTGGATTTGTTCACTTGATGCATCACGCTATTGTGATTTCTGTGTGTAATGAAGTAAGGGCGAAGAGGTAGAACAGCCTATTGGCAGAGCTCGGTCGGGTGCATGGAGGGAATTGCGTAAAACCCTGGTCTGTGTCTCGGAGAGACTGCAGGATCCGGGATAGGTCAGGATGATTTCTCGGTTACAATTCTTTTACCATGTCGTAGCTCAGTTGATTAAGGCCGCGTCTGGGATTCTCTCGGACGTAGGTTCGAACCCTCGTCACAGCCCTTGTGGACTTGTTCAGTCTAACCTATCCTAACAATATAGTGTATATGGTTTTGACTATTAAAAACCCGGTCAGAGTATTAGGGGGGGGGGGAGTGAGCGGGTCTAGGGAGGTCAGGTCATACCTTCTGGCACGTCAACTGGTATCCCAGGATGAACTCTTCAGTTGTCCCGACTATAACTTCTACTTTCCCGTCCTCCATGACGTCCAAGAACACTGCGTCACGTGCGTCACTATTCTTGTGTTGTTGTGGTACAGGTCTGGTGGCGGCCCCGCGGCCTTGAGGCAACTCACTTACAGGTCCAACAACGGGCCACTCAACATTCATATATCATAAAGTTTCTCTGCACCAAATAGAATATTATGATTATTTTACTAGTTACATTAATTGCTTTTTGTGTCCAGATGTTAACAAATAAAATGACAAAGGTACAGCACTGAGAAACACGAATGAATTACAAACAAAAGGTCTGAACTAAGTTTTGTTTATTAGAATTAAATCTAATACATGATTAAAAGTTATTTTAATTATTTTACTCGCATTAATAGCATCAGGGAAGATTATTAGTAGAATAATAGAATATTAACATTCAGAATAACGAGGACGCAGTTATTCCATTGGATGTTCTACAGGGGTCTCCGTACTACAGTAGGATTCGTTCTCGACTTGCATTCGGGATTTCCGGGTTAGAATCCCGTTGGGTGCGTTTCCTATCACCTAATACACCTCTTCACCTAGCAGTAAATACTGAAGATACCCAAGAGCTTAGGGGGGGCCTGACGGCTGAGTGGATAGCGCGCGGTGTTCGTAGTCTTAAGGGACCGGGGATCGATCTCCTGTGGAGGCGGAAACAAATGAGCAGTTTCTTTCACCCTGATGCTCCTGTTCACCTAGCAGTAAATGGGTACCTGGGAGTTAAACAGCTGCTACGGGCTGCTAACTGGGGGGTGTGTAATTTGTAATTATGTAATGTAATTACAGAAATGTAATTTCTTAAGGATGTAAGAACTCTTGTATATACAAAATAAATAAAAGCTGTTGTGGTTGCATCCTGGTTAGGGTCCGTAGCTCAATCTTGGAAGGGAAAGAGGGAAGCTGGATATAAGCCTAACGTGTGTATATACACTGGCTGCCTGTCCCTCTGACACAATAAGTTATTATTTGAATGATGCATTCTGCTACTTCTGCATGGGACGGGCCATAAAGCTTACCCAGGACAGGCAGGGAGAGACTCATGGCAACATGGTGGTGGGGAAGATTACAGACACTTGTCTTGCATGGTGCAAGTTAGCAGGCTTCTCTTCCCCACCAACCTTCCGTGACTGGCTCTGCCTTCAGCAGACACCTTAGGAGAAATCACGTTGACTGTACAATCTTCTCTGCTTTAGTTTTGTCCTTAACTGCTTTCAAACCCTGTTTCAATCCCTAAACATTCTAAGCATACACAAGCTCCACACATTCTCTTGGGAAATTTACACTTACAAAATGTTATTTCTAAATTCTAATCCTGTTTCGATACTTCCTATATGTAATAGAACCCATGAACATCTCACCAGAAATTATATCTTTGATATTCCAAGAGTCAGACTAAATCAATGCAATAAGACATGCAAATAAAATGGCCTAATATATGGAACTCACTCCCTAATGAACTAAAAAAATTGTCCAACCTATTCAAGCTTTATTCAAAATCAGGACAAAGAAGTATACATAACATATACATAATAATATATATGTTATGTATACATAATATAAAATATACATAACATATTTGGCATTCATTTATAATTTGTTTTCCACTAAAATGCAAAACATTTTGGACAACGTAAAATAATTTGGTTAAAAATATACAGTATAGGCTTATGGGGTAAGAAGCACGGTAACAAATTGTTCTAAAACTTTAGCAGATATAAAATATATATGTGATGTTTATTGATGAAAGCCATAACTTTATTATAGAATCTGTAGCTTTAGCAACAGTACAAATATATTATTTAATAATGGCAAAAACATAAAATGGGCATATATTGGATAAGGAAATTTAAGTTAAATTTGTTACATCTAAATTACATTCTGGTATTTTTTGTTTCTTTTTTAAGCTGCTTAAGATAAGTACAGCTTTTTAAATTTAATTTGGAAAGTCATTCTTCATTTTGGGAGCCTTAAATTGCATTGCATTTCTGCCTTGGTCGAGTTGAAATATTAGAATGATTAAATTTGTATTTATTTCCCATTTGGTGCCAAGGGTTGTTCCCATTGTTAAATTTTCAATTTTTGTACCTTCCCTTTTTTTTTACCATCATTTATTGGAACCTTCCCCACTCAGATGCATGGCATACTTTACATTCCGAACTTTAATAATTTTCTGTACCATTCCTGATTTTAATTTGCATGGCCAAAAATATTAGTAGTGTTGGAATTTACAGAATTCTAACTATACGGGTATTTGTATCGAATTGTCTTAAAAGTTTATATCATGACTTCATGCTCATTCACATGTTGACCCTCAAAATGCTTATACTACATACTCTGCTTACTAATGATTTGAAACATTGTTCTTCAAGTATCCTTGGTCCTCTTAAGGTACCACTTGCTGTTCTCCAATTTGTTCATTATTTTAGTGGGCATCAAACACCTCTTGAAGATCCAGTGTACGATGACTGAACTGACTCCTGGTGTTCCATAAGGGAAGTTAAGGAAACTACCTGCTTTCCCTGGGAAAGTGGAAGGCACGATGAAGATGTTATAAAGGGGCTTAAAACTATCTGGCCAGGGTAGGATGCATAATAATGGCTTTAATCAGAATTTTTCCATTTAAGATTATGGATAAGTACTACTTTGGCAGCAATAAGAGACTGTTGGCCAGCAACTTGCACAATTTGCCTCTTATGCAGCTTTTTTAACAATGGGCTCGATAGATTCAGAGGGGTTGAATCTAGGAGGGCACTGCCCAGAATGGGTCAGTAGGCTCGCTGCAGCGAAAACTTCCTATCAATTGATTGCATCTATATACTACCAGTAGTGTGATTTGCCAAACTTAAAACCAAGTTGTGGTAGTAACATCTGCAAACTTGATCCCGATTGAATTCTTAACAGACCTTCTGGAATGAAGATCATGTGATTTCTTTTAGTTATATTTAGGCTATAGTAATTTTTGTAAAACTAGGCCGTCTGCTTTTAATTATGATCTTTGGTTGATTTATGGAACCCCAGCAACCTCAACAATTTTGGCCTTATGTACCCAATTTTCCAAGCCCAGTTAAATATAGACATTCATATACTGTACGGTACATTTTAGATGAGCATGGTGGTATCTTTACTGCATTTTGTTTTGCTGATTTAGTCATCAATTAAACAATTCAAGAGGTAAGGTAATTATGAGACGAATGCACTAAACCAGTATGGCTGTACAGCACTTGGAATGGATACAAGGACTGGATAGGAGCTGGGATATGAGGACAGAAGTGGAATGGTGTTAAACATTTTAAGAAATGTTAACTTATTTCAAATGTGAGGAGCCAGTGAGAGCGCCTTGTGTCAGACACATCAGGTAGGCTTGCTGCTCTGACAAACACACGTGTTTACTCTCCTGAAATATGCCAAGGTTAACTGCTTCAACGCGTCACTTAAATGCTGGGATAAATATTCGGATTCCTCACTCTCCATAACCTTTAACTGAAGCTCTGAATATAATTCTCTTAACCTTTTGTGATTTGCACCTCTGCATTATTAAAAATATTGATAGGAAAATTAAAAATATCTATAAAATATAATTTTATTATACAACTGACTAGATCACTATAAATTATGAAGGCAAGGTTACATTAATTCCTGAAGTGCCACTATGAAAGTAGGAATGTAATGTTGACTATTGTACTATAACATACCAGTGGTATACACAGAAATCACAATAGCGTGATATATCAAATGAACAAATCCACAAGGGCCGTGATGAGGGTTTGAACCTATGCCCGGGATGATCCCAGATATGCCTTAGTCAACTGTACCACCACATGGTAAATTCTTTTACAATTTTTTGCAATTATGTTACCATGTTGTGGCACAGTTGACTAAGGCGCATCTGGGATCATCCCAGGCGTAGGTTCGAGCCCTCATCACGGCCCTTGTGGATTTCTTCATACCAGTGGTATCCAAGACCCAAGCAGAATCTGACTAATGTAAGTACCAAATGTTGCTCTGTTTACTACTATATACATTTTGTCATGTCCTGACATGCTGTCCATCTCCAGCAATCTTCAGGCTTGGGACTTATCTGAATAAATAACTAATAAAAACTGCCCTTTCTAAATCCTTTAGGAAACTTCCCCTTTCATAGTGAAAAAATAATTTTACTCTGAAGTTATTAAAGATTAACAACAAGTACATTTTATTTCATGTTATAGTATCTTACAAGACATGGACTCCAGCTCATCCTCCTGAAATGAAAGTACTTATAGTAACGATTTGATCAGTTATACAAATATGGATGTGATGGACCAATAGAAAGTCGAGTTTTGCGTTGCTGAATGCGAACAAACCGTTAAATGTTTTTCCATTTATGTTGCTAATGAAATCAAACCTTATCTAACCATCCTATGCCTAATGCACATTATCCGAGGTCTAATAGTGCTATACAGTACTAGGTTTAGGAATATTTAAGTTTGATTTTAGCTGTATTTTTTCTGGACTAAAATGACTAGTACCAAATTTTACTTCCTATTTGTCCATTATGTGGATATTTGTACAATTATCCACATACAGTAGTTACAAAAAGCACTTCAGTTTCTTATCGGGAGGATAGCTTGTCGAATCAGTTCTTTCGACACTTCAATGTCAAATGTTTACTTCCTTTTTTCAAAACCTCAAGCAGAGGTGGGGGGGGGGGGATTATTATGAGGGAAGAGAGAAATTACTTCCTTTACAAGTGGCCACCCAGAGATGGGAAGGTTAATTGGGTTATCATTCTTAAATAAACCCAGTTTAAGATGTAGCAACAAAATATATTTGATTAGCAAATTAGATTATTTTGCTGAATATCATATGCAAGTGATTCTACAAGCCCCTTTAATGGCTGAAAGTGGTTAAAATATCTACAGAGGATTCTGTACAAGGCCACTTCTCAGAGGAAACATGACCTATGAATGAATGAATGAATGAATGAATGAATGAATGAAAGAAAACATTAGTTGATCATCTACTGTAGTAGTTATATTAGCTATACTAACAAAACTGCACTAAGCCTTAAAAATAGCCCTACATATCATATCTAGATATAAATACACTGGACTTGGCCACCTTTATGTCATGCAGCGACTAAGGATTTATGCTCAAATTCATCACCACCACTCTATATAAACTTCTTATCTTTAGTGAATTCTACAGCAATCCAAATGGCATTCCTATGTAAAGATGCAACTCTGTGCAAATAAAATCATTTAAATAATGACCTTGTACTGTAACTGAATTAACTACAAACCAAACTTGTCTAAAGTTCATTTCTCTACATATTTACATGTGTAATTCATATTTTACCCTATGAATATTTGACCTTCACATCATTAAGCAGACACCAGACTCTGGATATTTAACATTCACTGTTTCATCAAATGCTCTGGTGTGTGTGTGTGTGTGTGCGCGGTCCGTCTAATTACCACAAGCTTCAGAAAGCTTCCTGGCAATACGTTAGTAATGAATAAATATGATATATTTACTCATTATAATCTTGGTGCTGAATGTACAACATGAAAAAACATAATTTTAATCTGAAAAAGTATCTTTTTATAAAGAAATTAGACAAAAATAAAAAGCTGGTGATGCCAAATCAAGTCGACGATCCAAGCTTCGGTTAGGTTAGGTTAGGTTAGGTTAGGTTAGGTTAGGATAGGATAGGATAGGTTAGGTCAGCCTAACCTATCATATTTATTCATTACTAACGTATTGCCAGGAAGCTTTCTGAAGCTTGTGTAGCTTGTGGTAGCTTGTGGTAATTAGACGGACCCTGTGTGTGTGCATCATCAGTTGGAAAGTAATGCCTTTGTTAGTTATCCTACAGAGAAAATTAAATGCACAGATTAAAGGCCAGTATAAATTCTATCCTTAGACAATACGCACTTGATGCCACAGTCCTCCCTTGATGGAAACCTTAGGAAACTGGAGTATCCACTGGTGCACAACTGTTGAATGGATCTGCTCACAGAAACCCACATCCAGAAGTTCAAGATTCTGACAGGTGTGAAGTAGTCTGTAAAGCACATGTGACAGAGCTCAGGTATAAATGGAAGTTCACTTGGGAATTTGCTTTAGTCATGAGTTAATTCTGATGCAAAGCAAGACAATAACACATCAACAAAACATTAAAATATGAGGAAAAGAACAAGCTGCTCCCTAACTAAACATTCTAGACATATGTGAACTGAACCTTACTTCATAGGATTATAAAAGTCAAGAAATATCTATTTTTTGTATTATTTTGTTTAGCAAGCATATCTACTGTCTGAAGTCTCCCAAAGACATGAAAACTGTTCTGAAGTCACATACTTGTCCAGTATCATGAAGCTGTCCCTATCTTCCCTTTTTGTTTTTATTAGCCCTTCAACTGCCTGTAGTGACTAGGATCGCTACATAGGTGGTGCACAGTGACCAGGGTTGCTATTAGGTCTAGTATAAGATTTAAAACTCGTATGGGTACATTGGGCTCACATTCTCTTTCTCACATCTCCAGTAAACAGACACCATCTTGGAGAAAATGTCTTGGGTACCCCTCCTGGGTGTGAGGGCCTAAGTACTAACACAGGAATCATAGGTAGCAATATGGTTGACAATGTTCCCAAAGTGAGGAACAGCCACAGCACACAGCTGCAGTTTCCTGCCTCTACGTAAAATTACCACTAAACATTACGTCCATGGAGAGACCAGACTTCCACAAGTTTGTTTCTTAGCACTAGCCATGAAAGAATATAGCTGCTCAAAAAGAAGAGTAAATGCTGAAAATCATATGAAAGGCATAAGCCAATCTTACCTTTGAACAGCTTCTGGAGTTACATTCCTTGTTCCCATTATATCTAGCTGAGTTAACTGCCCTGCATGTGTAGTCAGCTGGTGAAGATCATGATCAGTGAGTGTTCGCAATGCTGTAAGATATAGTCTCCTTAGGCCTTTGCACCCTCTGACAAGCTCTCCTAATCCTTCTGTAATTGCTCCCGAGAGTCTGTAAGGAAATAAACACAGTACAGTACAGTATACAGTACAAGTCACTTGGGCAGACTATCAGAGCCGGAGCAGGTCCACATGGACAAGATACATCTTAAAATATAATTAGCCTTCCTTCAAAATTAATTAATATAAAGTTTGTTTCCCCACTTCCTTTCATATTTTTATTATCAAAGCAGTTCATCATTAAATATGGATAGACTGAGGTTACAAGCTAATTAAAACAAATACGCCAGCTATCGTATTCGACTTAGAAGACAATATTCTGCATTAAATATTTATATGATCATAAGATGTAAATAAATCAATACTGTATGTAGACTTACGCCCAGCCAAGGTCCAGATCTTGGAGAGTAGGTATGCAGGCAAGAGCACGAAAGCCCCTGGTAGTAATGCCATGAGTCTTCCATGCACTCAGTGATATTAAGCCCCGATTGAATGTTGCAAGTGTAAGTGCTACTTCATCCATGTCTAGCTGGGTACAGTTATCTACAGAGAGAACATAATAAAAACCAACTTATTACCTGCAAAATGTATTATAATAGGTAAATACAGTACAGTAAATAGATTTTTTTTTAAAGTGGGAGACTTTTGAAGATGACATTTTGCCTGTGTGGTAAGGTCATTGCTTCCTAGCCATTTTTAGTCACTGAAAATAACATTATAAACAAATGTTATACAAGGGTCCATTGCATGCAATATGCATTACATATTTTGTTAACAGTGTCAGATATTACAGAAGTAGTCCCCCTGAAGGGCATTACTGACTAAGGCTGAGGTGACGAAGTTGGCTCGCATGTTGCAACAAGAGCTGTAGGGTGTGGAAATCGATACGTGTGCGAGAAAGATCCAGCCTGCTAAGAGCCCACGCCTTCTTCAACTCGCCAAATCCTAGATGGTCTACCTTGCTACAGTTGGCCATACTCAATTCTGCAAATAGCATATTTGTATGAAATTAGCTTACATTAAGACAACTGTCAAAATTATAAAAATAAACTAAAAGTCCTCTAATATTTATATTTGAAAATACCCAACACACATAGAAGACTGGTACAGTATTTTCTGTAATGGGATTTTTGCAGGATTAAAATGGCATAATTTATTTTGCTTCAATGTAGTTAATATTGCATTTTAAATATGCTCAGTGGCTCTCCTCCAGTTCTAAATCTGTCTTCACGTGTTTCCAACGTGTCCTCTTACAAAGTACGTCTGAATTTGGCCGTTTACCCGTATGGGTGCAAATGGACACAATTTGAAAATGAAAAAAAAATTGAAAATAAATTTGGGATATTTTTTTCCAAATCAGTAAGTTATTAAGGGTCCTCTGGTTGGCTAGGAGGGCAGGAAATTCTCCTAAAGTTTCAAGTCATGAAAAACATTAATTGAAAATTTCCTCTCCTTACCTTTGAGTAAGCCGGAGGACTCAAACAGAAAACGGGACAATACATCACTTTCGTGAGCCGATTTCATTTCAAATTAGTAAGTAATTATCAAAAGAAGGCACCAAACCTTCAAATTAGTAAGTGCAAAAACAAAGCATATTTATAATAGATTATGCTCTCCTCCATATGCTGATTGTAAATATAGTGGATTTGGCATGTCCCGCTTAGTGATGCTTAAACTTTCTAGTCATGTTATGTTTTCTAAGTTATCTGATGGGTTATAACTATATATTTGTTGAAAAAAAATTCACAAATGAATTCTCTAGAGAATGAATGCGAAAACAAAGGCAAATTCATAGTAAGTTATGTGCAACAGTAATGAATATACGGCTGTTTATAAATAGCAATGGAAGACACGTTTTAGCATCATAAGAATGCCAGTCTTAGTAGGGTACTGCCATCTAGAAGCAGTCTGGGGTTGTCACCAGATGGCTAACTAACAGTTATTGAAGCAATGTTTCATGTGTCACAAAACCAAATATAACTCAAATGGCTTGACTTTTAATTAATGTTCTTCTAGGTGGTCATTCTAAGATTTCATTGTTTCACTGACTTCAGTAATTTCCCCTTCCAACTTATAACCTGGCAAAGATTTCTGATACAAGAAAGGTTAGTAGATAGCTGCCTGGCATGACAGCTTACCCTAGGTGGATTACATCTATGGTTCAGGAAGCAACTGAATGGCCAGCTTAGAAAGGAGCTTTTCATTTCACTCAAAGCTCTATTTTTAATATCTTTTCTTTCACATGTCAAGTCCTTCAACCGTACCTTTTAAAATGTAGCTCCATTATTCATCTAATGCAAGAAGTTATTAAATGCAAAATTAAAATAAATTAGTTTTGTTTTACCAATGTAAAATGGCATTCCAACAGTCTAACCCTTTTTTTCTAATATTTTGCTCTGAACACGGGGCATGTTACCCCTGTTCTACATGACTACAGATCTACATAAACCAAACACCATATATCATTTAACTTTATGACTGGGACATTAAAGACTTGAACTTACCCTCCAGATAAAGGCATACATTAGCTATCATGTAAAGGCAGTAGTTGTCAATAAAATGACAATTATTAAGTCTCAATATTGTTAATTGTCGCCCACATGTGTGAATGAACTCCATGAAAGTTTCTGTGTCAAGAGCATTGTAAGGCCCACACCAGGAGAGGTCAAGAGCCTGCAGGAGAGAACACCTTGAAGACAGACATTCTAAGGTAGAATTCTTTACCAACCACCAGCAATTCTGAAAAAAAATTAATAGGTACTATTACTAGGTGCCCCATTTTTTACTTTCAAAGGGTGGGGAAGTATCAACCCAGAGAAAACAAAAAAGCACTTTATCAATCACAAAAATTTTCAACCCATCCTCCTAATCGATCATTGCAATTTGATGTATATATACCCAACGTCATTTCTCGTCCTCTTCATGTCTAAACTAAATTTACTTTTAGATATCAATTCTGTATATGACAAATGTCATCAAATGTGCTTTCAAAGATTAGAATATTTGTTGACCAAACCACACACTAGAAAGTGAAGAGATGATGACGTTTCGGTCCGTCCTGAAGCATTATCAAGACGAATATGATAATTGACTTGATAATGGTCCAGGACAGACTGAAACGTCGTCCTCCCTTCACTTTCTAGTTTGTGGTTTGGTCAACATTTTTCAGTCACGTTATTGTGACTCCTCATCTACATTAGAATATTTCCTTGTAATTAGCTAGAAAGTTCTTAATAATCTTTACCTTGAGATTTAATCGCATGTACAAACAAGGTTCGGAGGCATATTTCTGGAGCAGTTTACAGGTGTGAGACAAACGACAAAGACTTCTGATGTCTACCTGCCGCAGAATGTAGAGAATAAGCTCCTCCTGAAATTAAAAATATTATACATTATGCAAGAAATTTGTACTCGATGTGTCAGCCCGACAATTCTTTATCAGATTTGCCTTCAAATACATGGATGGGAAAAACCAGCACTGAATGTAATGAAATATCAATTTCTGGGCGAGCCCCGGTAGCTCCTGAAGCTAACATTGCTGATCCATTGCCAAACTGCTAAGTGCCATCAGTCACAGTTCTCTGCAGCCTACTGGGGACCATGAGGCTTCCACCGCCCTCGCTCGAAAGCTTCATAGATGCGTCCAATCTCAGTTGGGGCTTTATGACCAGCACTCACCATGCTGGTCAGGGCCATGGTTCCCTTGCCTTCATTGGGCTCATGGCACTGCAGTACAGTACTGTGACAATTTTATCATAGTGTCACTGCTCTGTGCTTCTCTAAAGGGCCAGGTTCTGACTCGTAGTCCCAAGGGCCGAAAAGAATTCTGCGACTGATGATGCCTAGTAATTTGGCACTATCAGCAGTGTAGCTTCAGGGAGTCACCAGCAATGCAGCTGTATGGGTCTCCAAAGTCCAGTTGGGTTCTTTCTCAACTCACAATCAGGAATCTTTGGTTCAATTCCTGGCAGAACAGAAATGGCTGGGCAAGTTTCCTTTCACTTAGCATTAAACAAGTACCTGGGAGTTGGCCAACTCTTGGATTAGTATCCTAGGGAGGGTCAATAGTTTGACCTTGCAGGGGCTCGATATTAGAATAATGTATATACACATACACAAACACATGCTGCCTGTTCCAGACAAAATTAATTACCCGGTATATGTACAGTGTATAAAAGAAAAATCTAGGTAAAATAGGAAATGAGAAATGACATGAAACTAAAAGCCATTAAATACGTCAAAACTAATGAATAAGAGGGAAGAGGATTGTCACGTGCAAAACATGAATCGATATAATTGATAAGGAGGAACCATTTAAATCTGCATTATTAAGAAGTCATAGATTCAGCTTGCTCTTGCCTCCTCCTAGGAATTACCTCCTCTTACCTGCTCCTCACCTCACTCTTGCCTTACTTAATGCCCATGTCTCCCTTGCTCTCTCAGTTACAGCCCCGCTCCTGTGCTAGGTAAGTCCACTACGGGCTCACCATAGCCCGTGCTACTTGGAACTTTTTGTTCCAAGTAGCAAATCTTAAACAACAACAACAACCTTGCTCTCATTACAATCCAATTGATAATGGTCCAGGACGGACCGAAATGTTGTCGTCTCATCTTCTGGTGTGTGGTTTGATCATAGATTCATATTATAAAAACACAGTTCCCCCCCCCCCCCCACCCCCAAAATAAAAAAATTATCTCCTGACAAACAGTGATAGACAAAGGTAGTAGGGAAGATAGGTTAAACAAGCACAATTTTCACCCTGTAATTACACTTAGAAAATTACTCACAGGCAATAATTCAAAATAACCTCCACTTGTTCCTTCATCCTCCACAGCCTGGGCTATGACCTCAGTTGATGTGTCTCCAGCTACGTGTACTACTGTTGACTGCTCCTCATTCACTATCATATTAACCACATCTGCCTTCTCCTCTCTCAAGAGATCTTCAATTTCTCTTGGCTCCTCTGCTACCAACTTTTGAAGATTTTCTTGCGATAAGAGAAACTGTACACCAGCGAGTATACCTTGCTCACACCTGTAGACAGTCGGATATTATTGTCAATATTCTGTTATGCTGCGAGAGAGAAATGAGTTTACACTAAATTATCCTATTGTTGAAACAGATGTAGTAGCCCCTATACTTAGGGGCTAATACTGTAGTCCGTAAGTATAAAATTTAATTTTCTAAGCAATCCCCAAAAACTTTCATTCTTATCTGTATCATTACACAGTGCATGTGCAATACCAATCCCCAACTTTACTCTTTCAAACTTTAACTTCACAACCAGCACCTTGAGCCATAATAAGTTATTCTTTCATTCATAGCATCTTTACTCATTCCCTGGCATACTCCTTTCTTTCTTCCCTAGTTATCTTTCACTGCTGTTCTTATAACATTTACTCTATTCCACCCTTCATGATTTTTTTTTCGTCTTGCATAAACCAAGCACATCAAACGTACGTACTTTAAAATTTTCACCTCATCCAACTAATAATGTTCCTGATTTGTTTGTCTAACATTATACACAGCTGTAAAAAACTTATCTTTGCTTTCCGGGACAGATCTATGACTAATTTAACCTTCAGTGGTTATAAATCTGGAAAAGATGAATTTCCGTGCAAGCTGTAATATTTCGGTGAAAACAAAATCTAACTTAAGACTATGCTTATTGCACTTTTAAAGGTGCACAGTGCCAAGTAAAATCACAGTGTAAATACAGTGCTGAACATCAATAAGAAAACTTGGAGCAATTCAGTGGGATCAAACTCACGCCTCTCGTAGTGCACGTATCAGAGAAGCCAAACGCATAAATTTGGTCCCCAATGTATTACTCCAAAAAAAAAAAAAAAATGTAGCAAGAAGTCATGTGGATCTTACATAGTTGTGTGGAGTCCAAGCTTCAAAACTTGTGAGGTTATAGAATCTCCTGTGGCTACAAACGACTTGCTTGCAGTATGCGTTGAGCCCACCAACAAGATGGAGTCGAGAGCAGAGTAATAGGTCTGATGCTGCTGATCAAACTCTATTCTCAACAAACTGAAATAAAAAAATTGCTTGCAAATTGTTTATTTTTATTTCCTGTGACCTGAAATATTTTCAAATTAGTTGGGCATTAACACTTATTTAAGTTTCATCACCTTCTTTGCAAAATAGAAAATTGCAGTATTTTCTGGCTTGAAAGACGTAAAAACCCCACATAATACACCCCCATTTTACAAGGATATTTGGTGCAGAAATCCATTCTAGTATGTTTTATTATACTATCTTGGGCCAAGTGGTCCCAAAGTTCTTTACATTCATTACTCTTTTTTCATATAGCATTCTTATTTGGTCTCCTACACTCACTATTAAACAAATATTTAGCAACAAATTTTAGCTGGTTATTTTTCCCCTACTCTCTGGTATCATGACCTACACACTGGCTTAACTTATGGCCCCTTACATATTACAAAAAAAGAGCATGAGGTAAGAGCTGGCACTTCAGCATGTTTATCACAAACCCAAACGAGCCCAGCACTAGCACCACCTAATCCCTGGCCAGCAACACTGATGACTAGGAAGACAAACCAACCTACCATCAAGAGAGGCCATGACCTGGACTCCCAAAGCAGCTTAAAAGGAAGGAGGCCAAAAGTGGTAGTCGGTATGTCCCACCTAAAACCCCGGCAATTCCCTGAACGTCATAACTAGTATGAGTAAGCATCCTCAAGGTCCAGAAAAATCATCCAAGACCATCTTGCAAACACTCGGTGAATGAATATAATTAATCCAAGACAAGTGGAGGATCAAGCAGAGAGATTGTTCTTCATCCCATCTTTGGTAGCATACTCTAACTATGAAACTACAACCTGACATTGCCACCTTGCTGGAGGATGAGGTGGCAATGTCAAAAATTATAAATAAATACAAGCTTAAATAAAATTAAAATGTTACATTTATGGCCACGTATGCACAAGTATTTATATTTTGTTTGTTGCAACAATATTTCACACACACATTAACAAAATGTAAAATAAGTATATATGCCAATTACTTCACGAGATGATTAGGTTGTCTGATGGGTGGCGAGAAGATTCGTGCTATCGGCTTCAGTCCTGTTTGTGGTTCTCCTGACCAGAGAAGTATCCATCCTTGACCTTCCAGCGACCCCCAGACTCTCACCACACTTCCCGGGTGATAGGTTTCATAAAAGTCTACTCGTATGGGGTATACCGGGCACTCGTATCTAACATCTGTTGGCCAAATAATATTTGTCACACAAGTAGTTGCTCCTGTGAAATACATAACAATGCACTAATATGTATCAAATGCAGGCACCAAGCCAGACAGTACATACAGTATTAAAGGCAATGCCAAATTTGGTTTGGTCGGTTTTGCCAAATCTGCATTTTGCACACTAACCCTTCAGTTTTGTTCCCATTTGTCAGTAAAGATGCAAGGATTATTTTCTCTTGAGGTTATCTCGAGATGATTTTGGGGCTTAGCGTCCCTGCAGCCCGGTCCTCGACCAGGCCTACTTTTTGTTATGCAGTCCCAGAAAGCAACCTGTAGCAGCTACCTCCTAGGTACCTACTTTACTGCTAGGTGAGCAGGAGCATCAGGGTGAAAAACTCTGCCCATTTGTTTCCGCCTCCACCCAGAACCTCAGGACTACGAATCCTGAGTGCTGTCCACTCAGCCGTCAGGCTCCCTTGGGTTAGCCCCAACTCTCAAATGATTTTGTTTGTAATGTAATAAAAGCCTGTAATTTACAGCCAATAGTAATTATAGTCTGCATTTCCTTTGATAGGATGAATCTTTGTACTAGTCTTAAATGTTGTACATACTGTTAGTTCACAGTAGTACTGTACTATTTACTCACATGTACAGTACCATATACTGCACCAGACTCATACTTATTATGGAATGAATTCTATGATAGATGAACAAGTTTTTGTATTACCATTACTTAGTTGCCTATCATAAATATAGCTGTAATATTTAAAGCAATATGTTCAACGCATAGGTCAACAGACAGTGAAGCATTTATCAATACTGCACAGCCAACACTGCTGCTCTTGACGTCACACACACACATGCAGGGCTTCACGCCTTAGCATATAATCTGAAATTTACTTCCTGGAGATTATTTTTTTTCACTACTGTATTACAATTTTAACCTTACAAACTTTAGTTTTAACAGGGCAAGAAAATCCTTTATTTTCCCACAAAACAGTTCAACAACCAAAGTTTTTATTAATAACACTGTCACAAAAATGATCTTTTGTAAACATTGTAATAAGTATATGGAATCAATTTAATGAGAAGGTAACATATGGCAAAACAATCAGAAGCTTCAAATTTAATGACAAAAATTATAAGGATGATGGGTCACCAAAGGTGAAGGGAAGAGGAACTATCAGGAAAAGTGCCAAGCCATATTGACTACTGTATATAGTATTGTACTTGGAAGGGATAACAATAATGATTTGGAATAATGCCTGCCACTTTGACGTTCAGGGATTGAACACCGACCTGCATGAAGCGAGACTATTGCTCTACTGTCCAGCCCAAGTGGTTGGGACTCTTAACTTGTAATTACACTTGGGTATTAACTAAGTAAAGCTGCTTACCAATGAAGTCCACACTAGGTGGGAGAAGGGGTCTAGGATCTTCAATGGGTGTGATGGCCGACTCACATTTGGTCCACCACTTGCCGTAGCTCCGCTTAAAACACAATTGAAAGATGTTAGACGAAATTAAACTTCAGTATGATTTCATATAAACTAATGTACAGTGCATACAAACAAAGCTTACTACAAAACAGTCTTCATGTTCATCACTCTTTGCACTAAAAGTACAGCCAGTGACTTCCACATTACTGTAACAAGATTCTGCATTCAATCATTTATTAAATAAAGTAGTTTGCTAGTCTCTCATTCTTTACTCTCCATGCTACTACTTAATTTGCTATTTATTGCATCTTATGTTTTATGTATTTTGTGAGGCAACACAAGACGGTTCAAATATTTTTCCAATAGACAGCAAATGGTAGGTAATATTCTCTTCTTATCCCATCTACCAAGTACACATTTCAGTAAATGTTACACTACAACTGACTTCTGACAAGGATGTGGAGGGTAGAAATAGCCTAAGCTACTCTATCCCTTTTATTGCTTATCTCAATAAACATACTTGACAAGGATGTGAAAATGAATGCCAGTCCTAACTGGTCCCTGCTAATGACTGGTTAGAAAACATCTATCACTTATGACAGAAAAAGGCAACGAGATACACTTCTAAAAATAAAACAGCTACAGTATAGCTATATACAGTGTATAAATAAACTGTCACTCAAGTAATAGAAAGCATCTGTGTAATACGGGAGATTCTTTAGCTTACCAGGCAATATGCCGAGGAAAAGTCCCCATATTCAGGGTAAAGCGTAGGCTTGCCAATGATGTTATTGGCAACATAGGATATAGAGCCATCGCTTCCGTACTGTGAGCTGAAGTCCCCAACTTCCTTTACATACTGGTCCAGAACACACTGCGTCTTCCCCATCTTCGTAATTACATATTACTGAAATACAGGAAACAAAACATTCTTAGAAAATATACTTTTAAGCAGAGAAACGTACTTGTACGACAACACAAGTACTGTATTCGTATCATGGCTTCAACTGGTGTTTGTAACCGACTGTATTGTATTATGACTGAATTATGGCCAATATTGTAAATTGAAATTAGGTGAAATATTGTTTAGAAAGCATTTTCTAAGATTATTGAGAATTACAGTAAGATTATTGAGAATTACAGTAAGATACTGGCATTTGACAGTCACCAGTTTCTGGCCACCTACTGTATAGCATGAATGTAGTATATAATAAAGTATAATGAAGTACTGTACTATACAGCACCTACTGTATAGTACAGTACCTCATTACAATGTTAAAACATGAAAGGTATCCAATATGAAGCAGTAATAACAACAACTTGAATATTTGGTTTTCTACATGTGAATCTATTATGAAAATTAAACCCAAGTAACTTTCAGATCAAGTGTAAAAAAAAAGTTAAGACATTTTACATTATTTTCTGTTTATTTTCAAATGGACGCATGATCCATAAGCTGTAGAATGACACAGAACAATTGCTAGAAAGATGGATTGAGAGCAAGAAGTGACTTAGCCACAAGCAATGACAAACATCGTCCTGACCAACTAATTAATGCACCTTGTACATTAATCCCACACCTTAACCTCCACGATAGACAGTACTATGCCCCTCGGGTAAATAGATACATTTTCAGGTCCTTGAAAGCCCACTATGTGCCTCTGTAACCCTTTCCACTACCGCCCACAAGATGGGTATGGGGAGCATAATAAATGAACTAAACTAAACCTCGAAAGACAAAAAAAAAACAGACATCAATTTAGCAAATATGGCTTAAATTACCAATTACAACTAACCAAGTTGTCTTGGCTGAAGAGGTAGAGTATCAATGTAGGTGTTAACAAGAGGAGTAGAGAGACAAGTTACCATACAGGAGGTAGAGGAGACGAGAGCGTCGTGCACCTGCTGGCAGAGGGCGGGCGGGACACTGGCGGGCTCACCCAGAGTTGCCACAAACAAATTGCTAAAAGTAGCGAACTGACGGTCTAAAAGTAGCGAATATGTAATAAAAGTAGCCCAATTTTTTGTTTAGTGACTGATACGGGTTTCAAAGTAATTTCTGCACATAAACACAGATTATATATATATATTTATTATACCCTAGAAGAGGGTACCACCTCTGGTGCAAGTGTATGGACCCATAGCCTCGGAGAAGAAAATAAAGAGTACTCAGAGAAGCCCGTGTGGATCCTCACTGAACACTGATATTTTCTTCTACCACCCCTATTCCCTATCCACTCCTATATTATTATTTATATATATATATAATTATATCAAAATATCTACACTAAAATCATTGTAGGTAGATGCCCGAAACGCTGTGCGTATTAGTGCCCAAGTTAGACAAATGGAGCCTGAACAGTTGTGTAACTAGATCCCGACCAGTAGTGTAAGTGGACCCCGACCAGTTGCGTAAGTGGACCCCGACCTGTTATGTAACTGGACCCCGACCTGTTGTGTAACTGGACCCCGACCTGTTGTGTAACTGGACCCCGACCTGTTGTGTAACTGGACCCCGACCTGTTGTGTAACTGGACCCCGACCTGTTGTGTAACTGGACCCCGACCTGTTGTGTAACTGGACCCCGACCTGTTGTGTAACTGGACCCCGACCTGTTGTGTAACTGGACCCCGACCTGTTGTGTAACTGAAGCCCAACCAGTTGTGTAACCGGACCCTGATCAGTTGTGTAACCGCAAGCCTAGCATGAACTAACCGAACAACCTCTGGAGCACAACCATGCACGAACCGAAGCCCGACCATGCACAACCTACAGCCCAAGTGACACCCCCGGAGCCCGACCAGTTATGTAACCGGAGCCCGACCAGTTATTTAACCGGAGCCCGACCAGTTAGTTAACCGGAGCCCGACCAGTTGTGTAACCGAAGCCCTACCAGTTGTGTAACCGGACCCCGACCAGTTGTGTAACCAGACCCCGACCAGTTGTGTAACCTTACCCCGATGAGTTGTGTAACCGAAGCCCTGCCAGTTGTGTAACCGAACCACGACCAGTTGTGTAACCGGACCCCGACCAGTTGTGAAACCAGACCCCGACCAGTTGTGTAACTAGACCCCGATGAGTTGTGTAACCAAAGCCCTACCAGTTGTGTAACCGGACCCCGACCAGTTGTGTAACCGAAGCGCCACCAGTTGTGTAACCTGACCCCGATGAGTTGTGTAACCGAAGCCCTGCCAGTTGTGTAACCGGACCCCGACCAGTTGTGTAACCGGACCCTGACCAGTTGTGTAACTGAAGCTCCGCCATTTGTGTAACCGGACCCCGACCAGTTGTGTAACTGAAGCCCCGCCACTTGTGTAACCAGACCCCGACCAGTTGTGTAACCAGACCCCGACCAGTTGTGTAACCAGACCCTGACCAGCTGTGTAACCGGACCCTGATCAGTTGTGTAACCGCAAGCCTAGCATGAACTAACCGAACAACCTCTGAAACACAACCATGCACGAATCGAAGCCCGACTATGCACAACCCGAAACTCAAGTGACACATCCGGAGCCCGACCAGTTATTTAACCGGAGCCCGACCAGTTGTGTAACCAGACCCTGACCAGCTGTGTAACCGGACCCTGATCAGTTGTGTAACCGCAAGCCTAGCATGAACTAACCGAACAACCTCTGGAGCACAACCATGCACGAACCGAAGCCCGACCATGCACAACCTACAGCCCAAGTGACACCCCCGGAGCCCAACCAGTTATGTAACCGGAGCCCGACCAGTTATTTAACCGGAGCCCGACCAGTTAGTTAACCGGAGCCCGACCAGTTGTGTAACCGAAGCCCTACCAGTTGTGTAACCGGACCCCGACCAGTTGTGAAACCAGACCCCGACCAGTTGTGTAACCTGACCCCGATGAGTTGTGTAACCGTACCTCGACCAGTTGTGTAACCAGACCCCGACCAGTTATGTAACCAGACCCCGACCAATTGTGTAACCTGATCCCGACCAGTTGTGTAACCTGACCCCGATGAGTTGTGTAACCGGAGCCCGACCAGTTGTGTAACCGGACCCTGATCAGTTGTGTAACCGCAAGCCTAGCATGAACGAACCGAACAAACCTCTGGAGCACAACCATGCACGAACCGAAGCCCGACTATGCACAACCCGAAACTCAAGTGACACATCCGGAGCCCGACCAGTTATTTAACCGGAGCCCGACCAGTTGTGTAACCGGAGCCCGACCAGTTGTGTAACCGGACCCTGATCAGTTGTGTAACCGCAAGCCTAGCATGAACTAACCGAACAACCTCTGAAACACAACCATGCACGAATCGAAGCCCGACTATGCACAACCCGAAACTCAAGTGACACATCCGGAGCCCGACCAGTTATTTAACCGGAGCCCGACCAGTTGTGTAACCGGAGCCCGACCAGTTGTGTAACCGGACCCTGATCAGTTGTGTAACCGCAAGCCTAGCATGAACTAACCGAACAACCTCTGGAGCACAACCATGCACGAACCGAAGCCCGACCATGCACAACCTACAGCCCAAGTGACACCCCCGGAGCCCGACCAGTTATGTAACCGGAGCCCGACCAGTTATTTAACCGGAGCCCGACCAGTTAGTTAACCGGAGCCCGACCAGTTGTGTAACCGAAGCCCTACCAGTTGTGTAACCGGACCCCGACCAGTTGTGTAACCGAAGCCCTACCAGTTGTGTAACTGGACCCCGACCAGTTGTGTAACCAGACCCCGACCAGTTGTGTAACCTGACCCCGATGCGTTGTGTAACCGTTCCTTGACCAGTTGTGTAACCAGACCCCGACCAGTTGTGTAACCAGACCCCGACCAGTTGTGTAACCAGACCCCGACCAGTTGTGTAACCTGACCCCGATGAGTTGTGTAACCGGAGCCCGACCAGTTGTGTAACCGGACCCTGATCAGTTGTGTAACCGCAAGCCTAGCATGAACGAACCGAACAAACCTCTGGAGCACAACCATGTACGAACCGAAGCCCGATCATGCACAACCCGAAGCTCAAGTGACACATCCGGAGCCCGACCAGTTATTTAACCGGAGCCCGACCAGTTGTGTAACCGGAGCCCGACCAGTTGTGTAACCGGACCCTGATCAGTTGTGTAACCACAAGCCTAGCATGAACTAACCGAACAACCTCTGGAGCACAACCATGCACGAACCGAAGCCCGACCATGTACAACCTACAGCCCAAGTGACACCCCCGGAGCCCAACCAGTTGTGTAACCGCAAGCCTAGCATGAACGAACCGAACAAACAACATCAGAAGCACAACCATTCACGAACCGAAGCCCGACCATGAACAACTAGAAGCCCAACAAGTCACACCCCCGGAGCCCGACTAGGCGTGTAATGGCAAGCCTAGCAAGCAAATATCTCATCCAACCCCCACCAATGTTCTAAGTGGGGTGTCAAAAAGGTCCATTTTGGGGGCCAACCCTTTTGGTCATGCACATCAATGACATAGATGAGAATATTACAAACCAAATCAAATTTGCAGATACTAAGATCTATGGTAAAGTGAGAAGTGAAAGCCATATTGAAACCTTACAAAGAGATCTACATGAACTTCACAAATGGTCAGATGACTTTAATGTCGATAAATGCAAGACCTTACATGTGGGGCATAACAATCCACGTCACAACTACCAAATTGACAGCACTACCTTTCAACAGATAGATGAAAAAAAGGACCTTGGAGTCAGAATCCATCACGTGAGGCATAATATACCAAATCATCAACAATCACCTACCAAATCATCAACAATCACCTACCAAATCATCAACATTATCTTGGAGTCAGAATCCACCAATCACTGACAGTTGTACAACAAGTGGGAGCGGCAGTAAAAAAGCAAAGGAAACCCTGGGAATAATCATGCGTTCCTTTACCTTCAAGGAAAAGAAAGTAGACTTTCAATTGTATAAGTTTCTGGTGCGCCCCCACATGAATTATTGCATCCAGGTTTGGAGACCTCATCCTCAGAAAGACACAGCTGCTCTGGAGCCATGTCTTACCAGAGCTATGGAGCTATGTCTTACGACAAAAATCATACCAGAGCTTAGTCATCTCTCGTATCAGGAACGGTTGAGGGCCACAGGGCTAACAACACCACAAACCAGGCTTGACTTCATAGAAACCTTTAAAATACTAAACAATTTGGAGGATGTCGATCAGGACAATGTCTTCAAAAGGTCAGATGTTACACGAACAAGGAGCAACGCGTTCAAACTCAACAAGCCAGAATGTTGGACAGGAAACAGATGTTTTTTCACCCATAGGGTTATAAACCCGTGGAACTGCCTACCCGCCGAAGCCGTAAACGCCGAAACTCTTCTGGGTTTTAAAACACAGCTGGAAAAGATCACTAGGGCAAATGGGGGGACATTTGACAAGCCCCCGGCTTACTGTCCTCATCGAGGCCACTAGTGTTAGTGGCCCTCAGGTAAATTCAGTTCCGCTTCTTCCCATTGGGAAGTTGTTCATCTATTCCAGTATTTGTACACTGGACTGTCGCTTGTCACAAAGCTTAGTTTTTAAACTATTAACTTGATGAAATAATATTACCTTATACGCGAGAATAATTCTGAATTCGCAGTGGGATAAAATTGACCAATGCGGGTTGGGCTGCCTCGTAGGCGAGCCTGGCCTGAGGACAGGCAACTGTAAATGCTTCACCCTCCATATACTTCTAGTGCAAATAATTGCCAACAGAACCTAAATACCGAACCTACTATGTCTAATTAAACATAGAATTTAAAATTAATTTATACACGATAAAAACTATTTTTAATACCCAGTACATGAAAGTCGATAATAAATGCCTCTTGGGAGGTGGGGGCTCAACCGCCGCGTTAACGAGCCTAGCCTGACGACGCAGTGGTTTAACACTATGGGGAAGTGTATTCTACATAATATCCTACCCATATAATAT